ATGCTACCACGGCCCTATTAGCCGCGTCGAAATTTTCCTAGTTTTAAGCTGCAAGGCAGCGCCATCTCTTCGCATTGTAGGTAATCCACAATGTCAAATGAATACTTTTTCAAGTATTAAACATTTGAAAGAAGAAATAGCAATTATAGTTATGATTTTATTTATTTTTTAAGCATTTAACTGCTAGATGTTTAAATCTAAAGAAAAGTTTACTAGAAAAAAATCCACGCGGACCAGGCAGCGGACGGGACTCGAACCCGCATCCTTCGCTATCCGGGCGAATGCACTGACCATTATGCTACCACGGCCCTATTAGCCGCGTCGAAATTTTCCTAGTTTTAAGCTGCAAGGCAGCGCCATCTCTTCGCATTGTTATAGTTGTCATTGTCAATGGTTTATGAGATACAGCCCACTGATAAATGGACAGACAGCGAAGGCTTAAAGAAATTATTTTAGTTTGTAGGGTTCTTTTTTCCCTTTGGATACAGAACCCTAAAAGGGGAAGAGGGTTGAAGTCGGGCCACCACCGCAAGCGTTTTCGTGAACTTGTTAATTTCCAAGGATGTTTTGAACATTTGATTTTCTTGAGCTTCTTTTTTCTCAACATGATAAGTACGCCTGATGCGTAACAATAAGTGTTCCTGAGCCGCTCGCTAATGGAAATAAGCCCTTTTCTGCTATTTTCGTTATTTTATTTAGCATAGGTAATATCGTTGCAAAATTATTTTGATGGTATATTTTGTGGTACATTTCCTTAGCATCTAGTACTTACTACTTTAATATAAAAATAAAGTCGTGTTAGAACTCAAGAACGGCTGGACCAATTTAAATTTCTCCAGCCGTTCTTATGTCTGCGCCCTTATTGAAAACTTACTTATTAGCACGCTTATTAGAGAGTTAAAAACTTTCTTTTGAAAAACTTATTCAAAGCTACAGAATCGTGCAATTAAATGGCTTTGTAGACTCATCAAAAGAGAATTTTTGACTGTTTTTAATTTAATAATTTGTTCCTTAGGTTTTCACGCACGTCACTCATTCAATTAACTAGTTTTAACAGGACAATGCACGAACTTTATTTATTTATTGATGTTTCGCAGCCTTTTCAGGTCTGCGTCGCCAGAATAATCTTTCTTGCTTTTTCCATTATTCTGACGATGCAGACCTGAAAAGGCTGCGAAACGTCAATAAATAAATAAAGTTCGTGCATTAACCCGTTAAAACTAGATTTATTTTTTAATAATTATATAATTTTGTTATTAATAATTAATTTGGTATATTAGTGACTAAAGCATAAAAATATATGCATTTCATACCGATAATTTAAAATATCAACTGAAAATACTTCCAGTTTGTGTAAATGATGCATGTTGCTTACACTTATCTGATGTGTGCATTTTATCTTATTTTCATGTATTCGTTAGCTTTTAAGTACCTATTTATTTTTGCAGTATTTTCTTTCTTGCTATTTCCATTTCCTATTTCTTGCAGCTAAACCCGTATTTTGCATTTCTTTTAAAATCGCCTTTGCTTATGAAAGCATCTCGCTAAGGTTAACAAAACCTTCAAAACCATAACCGAAATACCGCTACAAAAAAAAGTTTAGAATAAATTCCCTATTTATTAAATTTACTGTTTTTATGTTGGATGAAACTCAAATAAAAGTAATAGTAACAATTCAACGCAGTTTTTATTTAGACACAAAAAGGTATTTTTTCGCATGCATACAGTTAACAAGTCAAACACCACACGCCGCGCCACGAGACGAATAAACGACCACATAAAAACATCGCGTTTTTGCACCCTGCGCTCGCGCTTCCTACGGAAGTAAGACAGAGCAGGGCAGCAATACAATACCAACTCGAGTGACAGAGACAGCCCGCGTGGGAAACACAGGGGTGGCGATATCCCATACGATCATTGAAGTGGCACGGCCATGAAGTATTGAATTCGTATAGTATGTAACCCTCGCTGGATTATTGCGGTACTTCGCTGGGGTCAAAGTTACTGTTTTAATTGCATTAATGAAATTCGTATACTGTTAGCCACCTGTGTGATGTTAATCGTTCTAATGTGTGTGGCAAATGTTACGTTGTGGTCATTGTACCCTTATGGTAGCAGGTGTGACAGCTTTGTAGTTTTAAAAAAATAGTAACAGAATTTTAATGGGTTGGTCGCTGTAAAGGAATGGTTAGGGAGTTGAATATTGTTGCATGTTGAAAGTAACAAACATGATTCATTTCTTAACCGTCTGCTCCTTCAAAGCTTCTGAATCTGATTGGTATGTTTTTCTTTTTATATCTAAGTATCAGTATATTAATGAATTCATTATCACACTGTTATGTTATTGTTCTAAAGTTACTTTATTTCGAATTTAATGTTTCTGAATAGTTTAGGTACTTTAGTACTTTGAAACAAATTCAGATTTCATAAGATTCGAGCAGAGTGCCACTATCGAATAAATAGGAATGATTGTCTATTTACACGTATTTATAGAATGTAAATATCTTATCTACAATAGACTTTTTTTAATACAGAAATGGTTTATGAACGAATAACAGAAAGCTTGGGGGTACAGTGTCGAAATCACAAAAAGTTTAATCTGTAGCTTTTCGAAGATTTCTAAATCCAAACGTTTGATCTCGGCTGTCGAGCAAAGATTTCTTTCTTTGGCGTTAATGAAGCTGAAATTTACTGAAGAGGGAACGTTATCAAGGCTGGTGGATAACGAATCAGTCTGTCTCGACAATACTATTACCGGCACAATAAATTTACGCCAAGAATAGTCCGGAATATTCTACTTAAATACCTATACCTCCAGATAGATCATTTACATCAACTGTTGAGGAATATTTTGTTGATAGGATATGAAAATAAAAAAGAGGTTTTATAAAAAATAATTTAATCTCTTCTCTCGATGTATTTATGCACTTCTTTAGATAAATATTTACAAATTTATATACATAATTGACTTTTACGTCTATTACAAAGCATTCAAACTTCACACAGCACGTTATTGTACCAAAAGGTAACAGGCTCGGTTTTGTCGATCATACATTGTTTCTTGTATACAATATTAACAAAAACATTATATACATAAAAAATACTCGACTATAAGGAACAACGAAGATAAACGCAACTGATAGATGCAGTAAAATTAAAACACAAAATAAATTATAAGCAGTGTCAAAATATGCCTGTTTAATATGTAAGAGTTACAGTATATGTAATGAGCTCGGACTTTAAATTGAGGAGCTGGACGGAGCTTGCAAATACATAAATTTGTAAAACAAAAAAAATACTAGAATAAATTTCAACAAACACAGACCTAACCAGCATTGCAGGCGAACACACTAGCCACTGTGATACCGTCTTAATTTTTTCTAGCCAAAATTTTTCTTAGACAGAATGTATAAATTTAAAGCTTAAATAACTTTGCTGTTTTAAATAAATAGCTGCCTTGCAGCATAAGAATAGCTAGAAGAATTTCGACGCGGTCCGTGAGGGCCGCGGTAGCATAATTGGTCAGTGCATTCGCCCGGATTGCGAAGGGTGCGGGTTCGAGTCCCGTCTGCTGCCTGGTCCGCGTGGAATTTTTTCTAATTATATTTTCTTTAGATTTTAACATCAAGCAGTTACATGCTTAAAAAATTAAAATTATAATTAAATAACTTTAATAAATTTTAGGATGAGCTTTAAATAAGACTTGTTTCATGGTTATCAATTCATTTAACATACATTTTGATGTTTATTATTGGATGTATGTAAAATAAACCATATTTAAATGATAATCAAAAAATAGTATCTGATTCGAAAAAATACAATTGGTAACCTAACCTAACCTTTAGGTTAATAATTTATTATTTTATATTTCACCTTCTCATACTATATATGCTGGAAATACTTTCATGCGGCGGGCTTGTAGGTATTACAATGGTTTCTTGGGAGATGTTGATATGTTTTTCCTATCTTTGAATACATATAAAAAATTGGTAGATAAACATGTAATGCAGTAGGCGCGGGGTCGGAGTATTGGCCTGTTCAGTCAGAGACCAGCACCTGTGTTGGTGATTGTTTCTGTGGATTGGTGGTGTGTCCTTTCGTTAATTGCATTATACCTATAGCATTTGGCTAAAAAATTTGTACTGAATTTCTTTTCTAAATTATGGTGTTATTCCTCTTTTATTAGGTTAATTATTATATAAGTTATGGAACTGTAAGGTCAGTTTTGTTACCATGAAATTGTTCATGTGTTATTATGTATGGCTGTTTGTTCCTAATTAAATAAAAATCATTTACAATTTTTCTAAGGATCATTATTTTTTTTCCTTTTCCGTATATAACACAGTAATTCAACTACAGCATTTAACGTTAGTTAGTTTCGATCCTTTTCTACTATTTACACTTTCACAACCGTTATGGAATTGACAAATAAATCTATACTAAAATATCATAAATGTTATTAAATTTTTAGCAATATGTAAATGACTTCTATATTTCTTAAAGTATTTGAGGTTTATTTGATCGCAATACTGTTCTTATTATTTTAATATTCCAAAGTCAGTCTTTGGCGTATAATTTGAGCAGTCTCTAACGTTTTTTTACAAATGCAATACAATCAAAAACGTTCTTTTAACATTAAAGCTATATTATTTTGGTCCGTATATCTAGTGACTATTTATAATAAACTTAATTCATATACTATATTGCTATCACACAACTTACGTAGCATTTATAAAATTGTACATCTCTACAACATTAGAATCTCGAAAAATATTTTATAATTTAGCTATTACCGAATAAACTCTGAGATCTATCACAACAGTAGGGGCTTTGTGTGATTCCAAACTGTAAGGGGTATTTTGTAATTCAAATAACCATTGAACGATTCGAAATATTTCTGTCTATTCTGATTCAGATATGGTTAACATCAAAACGTGATCGTGAATGACTTATTACTTTGTAATACCCTTTACAAGAATGGAGTCGCTGGATATTTAAAGCTAGTACGCCAGCTCTGCACCCCACGGTCTGTAGGGTTTCGAGCTGTTCTGCGAATACTGGTGATGTGGTGGATGGTGGGGGTATGGCGCAGGGTAGTGGGGTGCAGGGGGTGCTGCATGGGGGCCTGGTGGGGCTGGTGGCGCCGGGGGTCCTGGAGGATAGTGAGGGTAACTAGGTGGTGCGGAGAGAGGCGCTATCGCCGGCGCTGACACAGCTGTCGCCGCCGTCGACGTCGCTGGATCCTGTCTGTGCCCCAGCTCCGTATATCCGTGCTGTGGCTGCGGCGGAACCGGCGTCGACGGGTACTGAGGGTACCCCCAATTAGCTGATTTCGCTGCCAATTCTCGCTGCGCTGCGAAGCACTGCAAGTGGCTCATGAGCCTCAGCCGCAGCGGGTCTTGAATGTCGAGGCCTTCGCAGCTCACGAGGTATCTCGCTACTTCGGCCGCACACTCCCTGAAGCCTATGCTGTGATAGTCCATGGCGTATCTCTGGGGGTCGTAAGCGAACGTGTCCAGTCCTGCAACAAGACAAGACATTATTATTCTCTATCTATGCAATAGAGAAACTTTATATTGGATTTTATTTTACGTAGAATAAGATTGAATTTTAATAACAAAAAAGGACGGCTGTAATGATGCAAATCACCCCACGTGGACCAGATGCAAGTCTTAGGAAAACAAAGCAGCTTGACTCCATTCATTGCGCCCCTCATAAGAACACTTACGCAACAAGTTAGGGAGACAGAGATAGTTGAGCGAGTGCTTACGGAGCGAGAGAGAGGGGTGGCGGCATGTGTAACGGCACCCTACAAGGAGCGTCTTCGAGGGTTTGGCAAAAAAGATGGCCCGCTATCCCCTTCCGAGAATGCAGTTGAAAGGTCGAGGGAACTAGGTTAAATGGTGAACTGGGCCACCGGAACATCGCACCGGTGTGCCCGAATCCAATACGATTTATTCACACTTTCCAAAATCACTTATAAGATTTTTTTTATATTGGATGTAAATAATAAGAAAAAAATAGGTGTGGTTTCTTGAAACCACGATGCAAGTGAAACTTTCACAATCGTCATTAAAAAAGTCTTTTCCTCAGCTGGGATTCAAATCCGGACCAGGGTGCGTGGCAGGCGAGCTGTCTACCACTGAACCACTGATGCTTGCTTGTTGATAAGATCTGTTTATTTTAATTAACACTTAAAAATGTAATGCGACATGTTAAAAAAATTGTGGTGATGTAATATAAGGTACACTTTTTTTATTCGGTTCACAAATTGCAATATACCTATGAAAAGCAAATACAGTCAGACTTATAAACTAGAATTGACAGGGTTATTCCTAATGGCAGTGAACACAGCATGCAAAACTAAATATCAACAGTGGTGCATTAAATAATAAAAGAAAACTAATATAAAATTAGAGGAGCTCGATGGCGCAAGTGGTTAGCGCGTTCGGCTGCGATCGTTGAACTTAAGCAACTTTCGCAGTGGTCGGTCATTGGATGGGTGACCAAAAAATCTCGAGCTCCTCCGTGCTTCGGAAGGGACGTTAAGCCGTTGGTCCCGGCTGCAACTGCAGTCGTTAGCACCCACCAATCTGCACTGGGCCGGCGTGGTGGGTCATGGCCCAATCTCCCTATTCCATCCATAGGGAAGGCCTGTGCCCCAGCAGTGGGGACATTAATAGGTTGATGATGATGAATTTAAAATTATCTAAATTAAAATTACACTAATATTATAAAGGCAAAAGTTTGTGAGTGTGTGAGTGTGTATGTTTGTTACTTCTTCACGTCTGGCTGGAGCGATTTTAATAAAATCTGCTATGGAGTTAGCTGACACCCTGGATTAACACATAGGCTACGTTTTACTGCGGGAAAATATCTTTAAAAAACCGCGGGTAATACCGCGATATATATATATATGAATAGGCAAAATCTTAAGTGTGTTATATATTTTTAGTTTTGCTAAGGCCAAAGAACCAGAGAATATCGAATTTTGACATTATTGCATTATACATAGTAGGAAAACTATCTATATAAAGGAGAGTGTTGGCCAACATTTGTTCTATAATGCGGCATCCTGAAATTTCTCCTGTTAATCAACTTAAAAAGGTTATGTGTGTTTATTGAGCCGATCAGTAATCCTGCCTACCGTGATAAGGTTCTGTTTGCGAATTGTCAACCCTGACATTTGTTTATGAGTACAAGTCCGTCCTAAACCAATGTTGTTTAAACTCCTGTATTAATTTATAATACAAAAGGTATTTAGGTTACAATGACGCTTGAAAATATGATGGAATACGAAACTTGTGCCCGTGTCTCAGTGTACAGTTGTAACTTATATAATGTAAGTTAATAGGAATTTAGGTTTGCCTGTAAAACTTTTAAAGAAAATGTTACTAGAAAAAATTCTACGCTGACCAGGCAGCAGACGGGACTCGAACCCGCATCCGGGCGGTTGCACTGACCATTATGCTACCGCGGCCCTAATAGCCGTGTCGAATTTTCTCTAGTATTTCTTAGGCTGCAAGGCAGCACTATCTCTTCGCATTAAAGGTAAATCACAGATGTTTAGATTTAAACATCTAGCAGTGAAATGCAAAATTAAAATAATAATAACTGTAAAACTTTTACTTAATTAATAAAAATAAAAGCGGTTTAAATACAGGTATCTAGTTAAGTTTAACAGTTCGGTTAGTTCTAATAAAAAAGTAGCAGATAAATAGAAATTTATTTCAAAACAACAATTTGAAAATAGTTAATCCATTAGGTATGACCTAGGTACTTTCAAATGTTCTCTTTTTTGACGTAAATAAAGTTGTTATGATCATAAAATTATCCATTTAATTACTAACAAGACTTTGGAACGTAAGTATATTCAACCCCTCCTTTGATGTCAGCAATCAAAGTGACGTACAAATTAAGCCTTTTGTAGTTATTTATCTATAGATCTGAGAATAAATTAAACGATTCTCTTTTATACGGACCAAATATATAAAAAAATATTCCTTTGTATTTCGCAGGTATTTCAATATCAAACGTGAACCACTTATACTTATACTATTCTTACAATGGCGGTCTCCCTTCCTTCCGGTTGTAATAGACTTTTTTATTTTCTATGCAGGTGTGACAACCCTTCTTCTGACTAAGTCTTTCGATCGACTTCCGTCTGTCATTGTGCTTGTGGAGCGCGAAAGTGGATAGAAAATCTATTTTTGATTGTATTTTTTAAACATTTGACGATCGGCGTACGATTTTAATTTGATTGTGGCTAGGGATTGCAATCCCGCAGCTCATTCAATCCCGCGGCACTGAAATGGATCCCGCATCTTTGAAATTATGTTACAAAATCAAATTGAAAATATAATTATACTTTTGTATAAAAATCAACTTTTATTAAGCATTTCTTACATTAGGCAAAAAAAAAATATTTTCTATTAATTAAGTAAGTAGTATCTGTTTTCTTAGACTATCTACAAATGTTTGGCATTTGTTTTGGTTTTGTTTAATTTTACCCTTACTCCTAACAATAGTTTTATTTTTTTAATTCAGTGTTATTCACATAATGACTAATAATCAAATTACAACTTTATCTTAGAAACTATGATATCAACCTATGGTTATAACTGTTGAAAATACGCTCTTGAGTAAATAGCATTTATTGTATCATATCCGAGTCTGCATCTGAGTGTACTGCAAATATATCCCGATGCTGAAAACACTCTATCGGCTTCTAAACTAGTAGGTTGAAACGTCAATATAAATTACGAGGCGAGCGTCAGGTACTCTCCTCTGAACAGCAACGTCGCGCTCATGCTACTCGCGATTTGAGCCAAAGTTTTTATTTGCAGGATCCGCGCTCTGAAGGTGCCGGTTCTAGCAGATTAATAAAAGCAGCGGGATTCCGGGGCTTGCGTGATCTCGTTTTGCGGGACTGCAATTCCCTAATTGGGGCCAGATGGCAGAGTAGTTAGATCTTAATTCAAGTTTAAACCTCTTCAGAAAGAAGAAACAGTAAGGTAAAGCGAGCAGTTGACGAACTTGACTGTATTTTTCTTGCATATTTCTAAGATTCTACTTCCGAAATGATATTATCAAAAGCTACATATAAAACACGTCCCAATTTATTAGTTAAAAGTACAAGTTCATAAGAGATAATGCCAGCTACATAACGTTTTCCTGCAGATTGTAAAATTCGCTTATCCTTCCCGTCAACATTTGAAACCAATAACTTAATGTCAATAATTGAATAGTGGTGACGAAATATAAGTTTGTATGGCATTAATTTATGATGTGTTTTAGCTAAGTTTAATAATAATAATAAGTTTGTTTGGAACAAGTAATATAAGAAAGTGATATTTATTTATACTACGGGAGTAATAATATATTTTTTATGAATGTTCAAAATTTTCTTTACTATATTTTTGAAGTTGGATACTTAGGTAAAATATAATAAAACTGTTTAAACTTCAAAATTCTCTGTTTATCACTAATATATACTATGGGGCTAATTAATATATTTACGAAAAGCTGTGGCTTTTTAACTTCTCGCCACTGAAATCGCGTTTCTCACGGAGTTTAACGCGGAAAAATAGTAAATGGCAGCTTTGAATTAATGCGTGCGAGGAGGGCTGCTTCCCTCCAGGGGCGAGTGGGATCGAGCGCCAACTTCGTTCCCACACGCCCCTCTGCAAACTCACCCGATGATAATTGTTATCTTACTCGTATATTTGTGATTGGGGTACATTACTGGTAGTTTAACATTTGATAAGGAAAATACATAATGTAGAAATATTTAATTAAATAAGTACCTAGGTAGGAAATTAACTCCAGAGTTGGTTTCTCAACCTCCTTAGTTTTCAAGAACTCTCCAACTTTGAGGTATCCGAGTTCGCATCTTGGTAGAGACAAATGTATGCATATTACCTAGGAACATGACAGTTTATACCTGAGTCATGGGTGTTTAAAGCGTTTTAGAAACATAAATCTTATAGTGATTACTTTGGGGGTAAACTAATGGTACGAGGTAAGAAATATTTACTTACGAGTATATCCTTATTACTATTAGGGAAATTCTAGCAAGTATTTATCAAACTATTTCTAAACTTTGTAAAGATGCATCAACTAAACTCCTTTGCTTCGGAAAAAACCTACATAAGGCTCATTGAACTGTGACAGTTTTCTTTCTATATCTGTGTGCTATGGGTCATTGAAAAAAAATGGATGTAATTAAAACCGTGTAAAATGTAAGTAGGCAATAAAAAAAGTCGGCGTGCCCAATGGTCGATAATATCTGGGTTTGTCTTCCTGTTTGTGTCGGTTTTTGTTGGCGCCAGGTGTTCCGGTGTCTGGACCCTCTACCTGGTAACTGATCGCGGTCAGATGGCCGACATATAGTTACGTCTGCCTGTCTGTGCCACTTTGTTAATATAACAAAGAACGTATGTCTGAACGCGATTTTAATAAACCTTCGTGAATGACTTTTCAATCATTTGTCCGTGAGAATGTTTTTTTTGTTGTAATTATTCTGTGGTTTAACGTGTATATCGTAGTAATTTTTCTAGATAAATCTATTGTTGTTGTTGACTATTATTTACAAATGGTTAGTTGGTCCATTTTGGTAACATTTTATGCAGTTTTACGTATCTCAATTTAAAATAAAGAATGTCATCATAGAAAAAATTACTTAGCATTTTCTATGGTCATGCAATACTTTGTTCTGTGGTGTACTTAAAAAAATAATAATTCAATACATTTTTAACGATCCCAATTACAATATGACTTCGGAAGTGATTATTTTAGTTTTTGAACCATAATAAACCTTAACCTGACCGCAATCAATTTGTACGCGTAAACCACATTTCGTTTCCTTCTATTCTGATAGGCGGAAGGAAGAGCCAATTGACATAAAATAATTCAACGATTATTTTCATATAAGTATCATGTATAGGTGATTTATAAATGAACTATATTTTTATATGAAGTATGTATTTCAATCCCATAAACAAAACATATTTTCTCGGAATTTACGTTTAAGAATAGTTAATTAATATCCATATCATATCTAAAATAAAACTATTTAAAGTTGAGACCATGTCTAGGAACATTCAAAAAGAGCAAAAAAAAAACTATGAATGTAAAAAATATACTCCGATCTATTGGCCTACTAGAAGAGCATTATATAAAAACCGCAGTCCACCTGTCATAGGTCCCGGAAGCGGCGTGGGAACCCGGAAAGGTTCATATGCGCCTACGCATGTACATATGTTCACACAGCAGCTCATATCACTATACTATCAAAGTTTCCCATACGATTTTCAACCTTAGTGGATGTATGTCCAACGTTCACAATCGTATATATATAAATCTTGATATGTTGTTGTGTGTACACACACGCCCGTATGCGTGGCCTATATCCCCTTGGGAGTTTGATCGGTAGATTTTCTATCTAATCTCATTGAACACTTGATGGATTATGTTACCAAATATTGTTTTATACGTGACCATTGATACAATGGTTTAATAAAAAAAAATGTGTTCCTGTTTCTGTGGGTTGGTTTATACAAGTAAAGAAGAGAGCATTTGTGGACTTTCTAATACCAACATAAGATATCGTAGGTTGGATAGGATGTGCAAAATAAAATATAAAAAACATTGAAATTTCAAAAAAATGCGCTATTGTGACTACAATTCAATTCGGAAGTGAGAGCGACAGTAATCTTGCTATTTAGTATTTTTTTGCAAATTCCGTTAGCTGTTTTAAGTTTTTATTCAGCAGACAGTTATATTTTTTACCAATTTCGTTTTATTCGAAGAGGAAGTGTGCAATCGACATCATGAATGACAGCTTTATAGGAACCTAACGGGAATGAATCTGCACAATCCTGAGGAAAGTGTAAATTAAAAATTTTAAGGGCGGCTTCCTGTTGTTTTTTGTTACAACACGCTTTAGTGTGGAATTTGATTTAGAGATTTATTATAAAAAACGTTCGATTCGTCATAAAATATATTTTTTTCTATATTAAAAATATAATGATGTGTGACCAGATTGCATTATTTAATAATCAAGACCCGGAAAATTTACATGTAATATACATGCATGTTTTTAATACTCAAATAAAAGTCAAGCAAAATTTATTACTTAAAGGATATTTTAAGTTAAATAATTGAAAAATATATGTTATCCTCTACAAGAAAGAGGTACAACGTGAGTCGGAGTATTCCCATCACGTCCATTTTCTAAACGTCTTGCTTATCACAAGTGGCAGACATTAACATCAACTAGTATGTAACCGCCGCGCTAGCAAGATAGCATCCTCCATAATCCCTAAGTGCGTATATATAGCACTCAGCTATGTATATAACAGAAAAGTTTTCTTGTACTCCCTTAACATTCTTAAAAGTAAGCATCCCAACACCACATCCTGTCCTTAACATTTAACATCATACGACTGTCTACAGAAAGAAGATGCCAAGTCAACTCTTACCTTTAGCATGCAGCATCTTCAGATGGTCCACAGTTAGCTGCAGGATTTCCGCTTTCTCTAGTTTAGCGCTGCCTTGCTTCTCACAAGCAGCAGGGACTAGCCTCTTCAGCTCCGTCAGCGAGGTGTTGATGCGATCCCGGCGTTTCTTCTCAATCACACCGCGCCTGCGTTTTCGCGTCATCAGCTGACACGAGTCGCCACCCGGTGACCTGCATAAACAAAAATAAAAGGTCGTGTTTGAAACGCTGCAAACCGTAAAGCCTACTCTTATGGCTTTAAGTCAGTAAGAGCCATGAGCCTACAGCTGGCTCTAGGGTATCTATGAGGATTTCACATCCACATCCATCCATCGACGACCTCCGTGGCTGAGTGATTTGTACGCCGGGTTTCATGGTGTCGCCGACTCGAGTCGTCCCGGGTTCGAATCCCGGTGGGGGCAGATGTTTGTGTGATGAATACGAGCATTTGTACTCCAGTCATGGATGTTTAATATGTATTTCTATATAAATATTCTTATATATGTACAGTATATGTATTCTATCCGTTATCCTAGCATCCCATAACATAAGCCTTACAGTGCTTACCTTGGGGCTAGGTTAATTGATGTGAGTGTCGGAAATATTTATTTATTATTATTTATTACTTTCACGCCAAAGAGGAAACCAAAAAGTTTGCAGTTTTGAACTGGCAACCTGTCACTGTTGTGTTCGGATGACATTTTAGGGATGGGCCACATCCATTCTTGTGACGCTAGATTTGTGATATTAAGTCTAATGTCAAAGATTGAGTGATTTCGATACATATTTATTTATCGAAGTAGTCTGTGACGTGAAAGTATAAAAGTACGTAGGTATCTATGAATGTTTTTGTGAATAATTATTTTAATAAACACTATATTTTACAAGCAATTTGATAGTTCGAGGTATTTTTTTAAGTCTAATCACATCCATGCCGTTTGACTTTGCAGAAGTTGTATTGGAAATATTGACCTAACATGATTTAGTTAGGGTATTTTGTATTTTAAATTTAGCACAAAACACATCCACCGATTCATGCTAAAACTGGATCATCTTACTGGAATTTAGGATAGGCCGCACATAAAGATAGTATTATTATTTGTAATTCTATAGAAACTTGAAAATAATATTACTGCTTGAAAGATTTCCTTACTTAGATTTCAAGTTAGTTCATAATAACAATTATCATAATTAACATTGATAAACTTTCATTTTTTGGTTGAAGGATAATTAGTGATAAAAAGATGATTATTATATTATTATTATCATAGATAATTTGTGTGTACCGATAACACTCAAATATTGGCGAAAGCTAGCACACATTTACTATAAACCTCATCATCATCATCAACAGCCTATCTTAGTCCACAGCTGGACATAGGCCTCTCCAAATGCACGCCACTCAGATCGATCTTGGGTTACTCGCATCCAGCTCCTGTCAGCCACCTTGCGCAAATCGTCACTCCATCGTGCCTGAGGACGTCTTACACTACGTTTTTCTAGACGCGGTCTCCACTCCAGAACTCGTCTACCCCAACGGTTATCGGTTCTTCGGCAAATATGGGCAGCCCACTGCCACTTCAACTTGCTGATCCCTGTCTCTGTCGGATTACCTCATTTCTGATGCGATAATTCAGAGAAACGCACAGCATAGCCCTTTCCATAGCATACTATAAACGGTTAGGAGGAATAGTGGGGCGCGTCTTCGTGGATTGCAATATCTGTAGTGTTATTTTATTTTGTTCTCCTGTAAGCTGGAGGTTACTTCTCCTTACGGGCGCTTCAATTCAATACATCTCTAAGAGTTACTCTAGAGTTTACTCTTAGGTTAGTTCTCTACCCCCTTATTAATAAACGCGGAATAAGCTTTGACTAGTAACACCGTGTTTTGTTCCTATCACTCAAATGCCATTTGTCATTCAATGAACAGAAACAAAACATGAAGTAACAAATCCAAGCTTATTATCTGTTTGTTAATAAGAGTTTCAATGTATAAAAATATACCAGCTAAGCTATTAGTAAGTAGTAAGTCTTAACATTTTTATCCTGAAAATTACTATTTATATAAATAGGGATGATGACTAACTTTTTTTTCTTCGTTTATCAGGTAGATTATCAAAAAGTATTGGACACGTATTTTTTCTTTTTTCACATAATATAAAAATTGCAGAGATATATTGATTTGAAAAGTCGCATGACGTCACGTTCTGTACAATTTTCACATAAAAGTGTCGTCACGAGCCCCTGCTCCCAAACTTTGACGCGCTATAACTTTGTCATTTATTGGTTGATTGCCCAAAGAAAAAATACGTGTCCATTATTTTTTGATCTTCTAACTGACGGACTAAATAGAATTTCGTCTACTGTACCCCGTCATTACCCCTATTAGTATTAGTTTTATTTTAAACATTAAAATGTTAAACTAATAATCTGAAGAATTTTGGACGATGGTATAAGGCTGGATAGCGGTAGTATAGCAGTCAGTGCATTATAACATTTTATGTATAGTACGGGTAGTGCAAGTTTTTGTTTCAAATCCTGCCTTGTTTCTTTACTTATTGTAATGATTTTGTAACACGTGTCTTTGGCCTTATGTAGGCGCGTTATTATTTATATCGGTCGAAAATATGGAATGCGTTTTTGCGATATCTGTTTTAGAACATTATGAATGAGAATGGCTTTGTTACACACTACTGCGTCTGATAATAACGACGCAAAGAAGTACCTATGACGAAATATCGCAATATCTCAACCGAAATTATCGACTGATAATAACGCAACTATGGACGTCTTGCTCTGTCTAACACGAAACAAGAATCTGTCAATGGATTGCAATTGATTTATCATTTTACTTACAATAATTTTACGGAAAAGGTACTGAATATGGATTTAAACTAGGAATAAAATTTAAATTATAATTAATTATTATGACCAACATCATAACTATTATAAGTCTAATTATGCTGTTAATAACAAATATAAATAACTTACTACATACATGTTTAAAACATCAAAGATTTATTTATATCAAGGTGACGTAAGTTAGTTCGTAGCACGTGCTACGTCGTAGCTACGAAGGCTGTGGTTACGCGCTGATTGCAGAATAATATACGGTAACTTATTAACTTGTAGTCATGGTTACATATTCAGCTATTTGTAATACTTATGTGACAGTAATTTTGTGAAATAAATTTTATAGTACTTACGATATTGATTTTTAATTAGCATACTTACTTTTTTAAATATTAAGAAATAATATTAAAATAATTGACTTATTAGTTTTTATATTTATAAACATAACAAACGGTAACTTATTAACTTGTAGACATGGTTACATATTCAGCTATTTGTAATACTTTTGTGCCAGTAATTTTGTGAAATAGATTTTATTGTACTTACGATATTGATTTTTAATTAGCACACTTACGTTTTTAAATATTAAGAAATAATATTAATATATACGTACATACATTACGTAGTTATCTGTTATTGTTATAAATGTTAAAGTACAATAGATACTTACTGCGCATCTTTACTACTGCTTTCTTCAGAGAATGCATCGTCTTCACTTTCTGAATGTGTCCTTTTATTCCTTTGCGCTGGCGCAGGCGGCGCCGGGGCAGCCGGTGGGCCCCAGCCGTACCCCCATTGGGGGGGCTGCGTCTGACCCTGCAACGGTGGCTGCTCCATATGACGATGATGGTACTCCATATCACAGAAAACCACACAAACTTATCATCCACTAAGTTTAAGAAGAGTAATGTTTCTCATAAAAAAGTTAAGGTAACTTTCACAAAAGTTTGAGCGTTGATGTTATCACTGTTGGAAACTTTGTTGGTCACGTGATTGTCGCGTAGAGTAGAGCTAGGTGTACACTGGGCACGTGCGCGCGCGTGGACGGCCGGACGCGGAGTGCGCGCCGCGTGCCGCCCCGTGTGCCGTCACCCTACGGCATTCTTACCCTATACTCACCGCGCTTAAACGTCACCAACTAAATTCAACAACCGGACCATGCTAAAAAGCACCCTATTTCAAGAACGATAAGGTTCCCCCTGCCCGAAAACGAAATTGCCAACTAATACTCTGCTGCAAAAAACTGCGATGGCTGCATCAAGATGTAATAGTCACTATCGCAGGCGCATAAGGTCCATACGTAATGCACAAAATAGTTAAGCTGCATATTAAACAGCGAGATTATTGGTTTCGAGATAAGTCCAAGTTGAAATAGTTGTTAAAATTTTATGAATAGAGTCCAAATTTCAATGTGCTTTGGTAATTTGGGTGGTTCAGAGTGCCGCGTGTCAGGCGCACGGTGGGAAACTGAGGAGCAATTAGGAAATGCAATTCCATTCGCGAACTATTGGTGTGAATGTTTTTCAACAGGGGTCCGACCGTGGGACGGCTTTAGTACATAACATAAGCATGGATTAAGTCTGTGAAATACATATATTTATATAGGTATATATTTTTTAACGAGGAACGAATTTTGAATGCTGCTTTATATTTCATATTTTATTAATGTTGGTATGATACGTATTTTCGTATAAATAAAATTGTTCTTGTAATTGCTGAACCAAATTAAATAAAGTTCGGACGCAGCTATTGCGTAAACACCTTATAAATTTTCACATTATAGGAAAATAACAACTCTGCTCGGCGTTATTACCTAAATGCCTTCAGAACTTTTGTTATAAATTTATAACGCGAATCTCGTAACATTTTGGTGTTATAATCTTTGTTGTTGCGATTTCTGAAATTTTGTTAAATCATTTGATACTTACCTACTAATGAAATCCTAATGACCTTTACTCTTTTTTTACTTTCGCATATTTTTTTATATATAAACACTTTGTTGCAAATATGTGAAATTAGGATTAGGAATGACAAAATAAGTGTTTGAATCGAATAAAGAATAATTATCAGATCATATTGGTTGAAAACAGAAAAACTAAATAAAAAATCTCTGAACAATGAATACAATGACAGTATCTTAATGAATTTCTTGCAGCCAATCATTTGATGGAGAAAATTAATAGGAATCTGAAAAGTTTGCAGCGCCAAAAAACGATCAAAATGATCAAAAATACAATTTAAATAAGTATATAGTACACAACACAAATGTATTATATTATATTAATGCGGAATCATTAATTTTTGAATACTAATTGGCAATATTAAATGTTAAGTGAATGATTTGGGCGGGTGGCACGGTACACACGCGCGGCGTGCGCCGGGCGAGTGTCTCGACGTATGCACGCTCACGAAACGCCGATGAAGATAATAGCAGCCTTTAAACGCGCTCAAGCAGTTGCGTCTTTTCTAGGTCACTGTGAAAGTTCAAGGTGATTTTCTGTAAAGAAGTTTACGCACAGACGCAGTAAAAGGCAATGTCGATTAATGGAAAGCTTTAGTTCCAAAGTTCGAATGTTTACCGATTTGAATGTCGCAAGGACAAAGATGTTAGTTGATGACGAAACATGATCAATATTGATGTCTGTACATGGATTTATTCGATCGAGTTTTTATTTAGGTTGTCGTATTTTGTTTCTACTTTAAAAAATGTTTGTTATTTATCTAACAGCTTGACAAGTCCTTTGTAGGACTAATAATGTTTTTGTTGTGTTCCACCAAACATTAACAGGAGATTTTCGTCGTTGATGCGGTGTTACTTTACTCTCTCAAATTTGATTTGTTTAGGACTGACAGAAAGTAGAATAAGAACAAAGCAGGTTATTCCGATTTTTTATAGATAAACTAGCAAACCCAGCGAACTCCGTTTCGCCACCAGATAGCTTCGTTTTATATAACATTTCGTTTTGTGATTAAAAGAAAACGATTTTTTTTTTAATTTTTCCTGAATTTTCTTTGCTATAAACCTCACGGAGCCCGAGACCTTTCCAACGAATGCAAAACCGTGGAAATCGGTTCGTGCGTTCTGGAGTTATAGCGTCAGGAAGGCAAACCCGACTTATTTTTATATAGTAGATAAATAATATATGTATTTGTAAATAAAGCGTTTGAGTTTAATTCTTTTATTCCCAAATCAAATTATTAAATAATAATCAAGGCTTAATTTTTCACTGTTCCATTTTTTTCAATTTATGTTGAAACCCGTTGAATATTTTAGGAACTTTTGATACAACTTACCGTTAGAAACAAAGCAACTAAAATGTTACCATTTGTCTAGGTTGGCAAACCAGTGTGGTTTATTCAGTAAAATAGGTCTAATGTGTTGAGTACAACTGATCCCTATGAATCCATCCATCCATCCATGAATCCATGCCATGGAAAATGCTTTACAGATGCTTCACAAACGTTGTAATTTCTTTCATCAGTTAAAATTGCTATACCGGTTTAGTTTTATTAATGCAAGTCTACTTTTTTATAAAATATATAACAGTCCAGTAGTGCTATTCTGTAAGAGAAACTCAATATTCACCTCGAAATCCGCGGTGTGATTTAAAATTAGAACATGAATTTCATATAAAATTCAAATTATACCGGCGAATTCCGCAGTGAAATTCCTTGTTTTCTTCCTTGTTTGTTCTTACAGAATATCACTGCTGCCGAAACTAAGTTTCTTATAGGATAATTGGGCTTGAATCGTTTCATAAACGTTGTTATGGAATGAATAAATTAGTCATTTATCCAATTCATTCCCCGAAGTTTGAAGAAAACTAAGCGTTTATTGAATACAAATGTTGGAAAAGTAATTTCTGAGGAAACTGTCACCTAAAAAGTAAACGTTATTAACCCACGGCACGATCTTGTTATGAATATTCGCAATATCCAGTTTAATTACTTATATAGTACCTATATTGACATGAAAATTTAATTTCAAAGTGAATCTTCTATTATATCGTCACAATTTTTGACGTGAAAACGTCTTATAAATCGATGAACACCAGCTGCTTGCACGAAAAAGTGTCACGTCCCGCCTGAGCCTGAGCGTGAAAGCGAGAGCGCGGAACAAGCGATAGAGGGGCACGATCGGCCCAAGCATCGGCTTATACACATTTATCTCTCTTCTGGCGTGACGTCAGAGTTAGCGATTATGCAATTTTCATCAATGTTTCTTTATGACGTTATCACGTAAAACTATCGTCCGTAAACCGACTTAACAGACAGCCAATTTCTTTTTTCGTTTATTTTTAGCATGTTGCGTAACATTTTGAATTATTATCAATAAATTCAGACTTTATCAACAAGTATCGATGGTTCAGTGGTAGAAAGCTCGCCTCCTAAGCGGGCAGCGCCGGTTCGAATTCCAATCAAGGAAGGTCTTATTTATTAATATTTTTTTTCTTTTTATTAATTATTCATGGGGAATTAAGAAGTCTGATACTAATCGGACGAATTAATAAAAACTATTTCCATACACATTTTAATTTCCTGTATAACCCGCAGGTATTATTTTACGAAAAAAATATACAAAATAGTACGCTTTATTTCGGTACCAACATTTCAAAATGTATATACGCAGGCATATAGATTTTGGTAATTTTAAATTTTTAGGCGTAAATCATACTGACACCGAAGAACAGAATTACGAAATAACGTATCTATTCATGACTTCGGGTTGCTAAGTAGCTATTACTATTTAATATTTATCTAGTAAACTGTCCTTTTGGATATTGGTTTTGGAACATTAAAAAGGTACGTAAGTGTTCGAAAATGTTTCCCTTGTCCATTTTTTTCCTTTTCCTATTAAGCCTACGTGTGTTTGGCTACGTTATAACAGACAGGAAAATATTAGTAAGAAATACTCCAATAGGAAATAAAACATTTTCTGTCACGTTATCAGAAATATTTAGGGTCATTTGAAGAGGTACGAAGGAGAAAATTACATGGCGGTTGCTACTCTTAAATAAGTATTTATCTTCCTAAGCAGCCGTATTAAAAATTAAACACATTATTTAATCAAATATGTACACCTAGAAAGTAGGTTAGTAATATCTCTTCAGATTTACTTTCAGCAATCACTTTTTTTATTTTAATACATACATAATTTATATAAGCACAATCTAATTAGCACATCTAATTAGCATGTACTACATGTACACGAAGAAGATAAAAACAAACTGGATAACGATAGACTATTATTATTAGATTTTCATAACACACTTATTACGATAGGTACTCACCAACTTCATTGGCTACAAAATAGAACACTTCAATAATATTTGTCAGAAGTTCTTCCAATATGTCCCCAATGAAATAAGTTAGGCGCCCGCTGAGAGCCGCATGACGTCAGCTCTGTGGAGGAATCAACAAGTGCCGCAGAGCAGGGTAAATGTATAAGTTAAATGTGGATGTCGCAACAGGTATTTTAAAAGTAGGACTGCCTTAGAATTATTACAGTAATTCGTGAAGGCAAAACTTTTGCACTTACCCTATAAAGAAACACATTTAGGTTATCATCGAGAAGTGTAAGATTATCTCTATATATAAAATAGATCCTTATTTTCCCTCGATCACACCATAACTTAAGAACTATTTTATTGATTACATCTATTTTTTTAGGGTTTTTAATACTTCGTTAAAGGTTTTTACGGAAAACAATAAGAAAAGCGAAACTAAGTGAAGATCGTTCAGGTGCTTCCACTGAAAAAGAGTAAGGTGTGTGGAGTGTCCATAGAGAAATGCAAAAAGTGCTAGTCTCTCACAGACAAAGGCGGCTTGCGCTGCTGCCGCAGTTATCCCATAAGAGC